TCTCAGTGGCATGAACCTCCAGTAGGGTGCACAAGGAAGACCAGTTTGGGCATTTTTCTTCCAGTACTTGTGAAATACCCAATTTGAACTGGCCAGAATGTGTGTAGGCATGCCCTCTTGAAGGTCACGAGGATAGCCACAATTTGGATATGTGCAGTAGTCAGAGTATAGACAGAAATACTTTGGGTGTTAAATAGAGAACTTAGGAAGCCCCTGTAGTGAAGTTGTGAACCCTGGACACTGATATTTAAGCCTTGGTCCTGGTAACAAGAAGAGTCTACGGAGAAAGCAGAGTGCTGGAAGGCTGTCATCAGAAGAGAAATAGTGCTGACTAACTAGAAACCAGTCAGATTTTAAGAAGTGGCCTCTTTAAATTGCTGCAAGAAGTCAGAATCAAGCTTGAAAAATGCCTGTTGGATTTGAGAAGTAGAGAGTCATTGCTCAGAGTAAATTTATGGAAGTAGTATGAAGAGAAGTGAAATTTTAGGGATTTGGGTGGTTGTTGTTGTTAGGTGCTGTCAATTCAAGTCCAACTCAGAGACACCGTGTGAACAACACATCTGAACCCTGTCCCATCCTGCGCCGTCCTCATCATCTCTGACACACGAGCCTGTTGCTGCAGGCGCTGTGCCTGTCCATCTCTTTGAGGGGAGTCTTCTCTTCCTGACCATCTTTCAAAGCATGACGACCCTTTCCAAGGAGTAGCCTCTTGTCACAGCATGTGCAAAGTATGTGAGATGAAGCTTTGCCATCCTTGCCTCCAAGGAGCACTCTCGCTGCACTTTTCTTAAGACATACCCGTTCTTTTGACAGTCCTTGGAATACTCAGTACCGTAGCCCAAAGGCATCAAGTCTTCTGTCATCATTCATTGTCCTATTCTCAGATGCATAGCAAGTGATTGAAAAGACCATGGCTTGAATTTGGAGCTCCTTAGTCTTTAAGCTGACTGACATCTTTGCTGCTCAGTAATCTGGATTAGGTCCCTGACAGCAAATTTGCCCCATGCAGTACGTCTCCTGATCTGTCAACTGCCGGTACCAGGGGTGTTGATCGTGCGTCTAGTTAAGATAAAGTGGTTGACAACTTCAATCTTTTTTTCTGTCTATCATGATGTTTCTTACAGGTTCACTGGTGAAGATTTTTTTTTTAATTTTATTTTTGTGTGTGTGTATACGGTCAAATCAAATATGACTGGTACAGGAAGAGATTGTCCCTCTTTCTCCAGTAGAGCATCTGGTGGATTCAAACCATGTTCCTCTAGGTTGGTAAAGATTTTTGTATTCTTGATGTTGAGAAGACACTGATCTTCTGCAGCAGGTACTTCAAGTACTCACTTTCAGAAAGCAAGATTGTGTCATCTGCGTAATGCATTTTGTTGATGAGTCCTCCTCCAAATCTGATGCTACATCCTTCTTCATAGAGCCCAGTTTCTTGAATGTTTTGCTCAGAGTACAGATTGATTAGGTATGGATAAAGGAGACAACCCTGGTGTACACCTTTCCTGATTTTAAACCATTCAGTGTTCTCTTGCTCTGTTCAGACGGTAGTTTTTTGGTTTAGTAGTACAACTTTCGTATAAGCATATTTAAGTGTTCTGGGATTCCTGTTCTTCTCAGTATTAGCCATAGTTTATTATGATCCACACAGTCACATGCCTTTTCTTAGTCAGTAAAACAAAGATACACGTTCTTCTGATATTCTCTGCTTTCTTCAGGATCCATCCGACATCAGCAAAGATAGCCATGGTGCCATGACCTCGTCTAAACCTAGCTTGAACTTCTGGCAATTCTCTCTAAATATACTGTCCAGCCATTTTTAGGTTATCTTGAGCAATATTTTGCTACCGTGGTATTAATGATACACTTTTTTTTTAATTTCCACATTCTTTTGGGTCACTTTTCTTGGGAATGGGAACACATGCAGATCTCCTCCTGTCAGCTGGCCAAGCAGCTGCCCTTCAGGTTTCCTTGCATAGACTGGTGAGCGCATCCAGGGCTGCATCTGTTAGTTGAAACATTTCAGTTGATATCTCATAGATTCCTGGAGTCGTCTTTTTTGTCAGTGCCCTGAGTGTAACTTGATCTTGTTTCTTCATTTATGTTGGCTCTTGAGCTCATGGTACTTCCCGAAATACTTAAATAACTTGATGGCACCTGAACCATCACAGCATTGGTAATGACAAATAGGACTTCTTTTCTCAAATGCCTGCTTATTTCTTGCTTGTTTGTGTCACTTGACTTTTTTTTATGGTTTTAAACAATGTTTCTAGTTTTTAATTGTATCACTTCTTTACACATTACTAAGTAATTTTTATTGGCATTGGTGGATTTTGTGTGTGTTTTAAGTTCAGGACAGCTACATATTCTTAGGGTTATCTCTGTTTTTACTAGCGAGAATTAATTTCCCAAACTTCTTCATTTCAGAATTTTTGGCAGTTTTTGATTGTTAAGAATGTTGGATTTTCTAAAGTCTAATGTGCTAAAATATAATTTTACTTAAATTTGGTTTGATTATAATGAATCAGAGAGGACAAAATTCTTGTAAGTTTTAGTTGCCCTGATTTTAGACCATTTCCCTGGAATTTGAGATTCTTTTCAGGTGAAGAGTCCTTCAGTCGCATGATAATCCTCACAGTGATTCTTGGAAGGATCATTTGCTAAACTTCCTGTTCTAGTTTTGTGATTTCTCCTCTGCCCTCCTCCTTCACCCTTCAGTCCAGAGTCTGAACATGGCCCCGTGCCACCTCGTTCCTTGCTTCAGTCAGTGTGCTCTTGGTGCGTAGCAGTGACTTGGTGGGTACACCTGGCATTTAGTGATCCTTTACATAGAACTAGCCAACTTAAAGGTCAGCACTTCCAACCAACAGGCCGCTCTGCAGAAGAGAGATGTGGCAGTCTGCTTCTGTAAAGCTTGCGAGCTTGGAAACCCTGTGGATCAGTTAGACTCCTTCTGTAGGGTCACTGTAAGTCAGTTGGTTTGGTTTAGTTTTCTGGTATAGAGACCTCGAATTTTTAGTAAAAACAAACTTAAATTATCATACATTAAATTGATAAACTGTTACTGTAGCCTCAGAGATGATTGGAACTACAAATTCTTTATTTTTCTGTTTGCATCAGTCACATCTCAGTTAACTCTTGAGAAAAACAGCGAGACTATCTCACATTAATTTTAAAGCTCTGCTTAATACCTATAGTTATGAAACTTAAGGACAGTTTTGTGCCTACTTAGGAGTGCTCTGTATCTCTGCCCCCCAAACCCAAGTGAACAGTAAATGCAAGGTAACATTTCCACCTAGCCTTTGAGATCCTGTGATCCTGCCATTATTTTACATATGAGAACCCTGTAGAGTTGGATGATCTGACCCAAAGCCGTCCTACGTAGTGACACAGGCAGCCTCAAGGGCTGATTTTTCTGGGCTGGGGTTCTTTGTGCTCTTCAGGAACACCCCAGTTCATTTCTCAGTTGTTAGAGCCAAGGGCTGACGTCTCATCATCAGAAGATCAAACAGACATTTAAAAGAAAAAGGACGTTATGGTTGAGCTGGAGTGGATTAAAATCATAAATAGGTTAGAATCAGCCATGTTTTAAAAGGAAATGAAATAATTTCTTTTGCCAAATATTATATACACAGGGTATAAAACATTAACGTTGTAGTGCTTATGATGAAATACCAGAGGGACCTGCCTCACCTCACTCCATTAACATTTCCTTGCCTTAAAGAGAAGATCCCAAAACAACTGTGAGATGGCATCTTACCCCAGTAAGAACAGCAAAATTTAACACAACAGCAAACATCAAATGCTGGCGAGGTTGTGGAGAAACTGGAACCCTTATTCACTGTTGATAGGAGTGTAAAATGGTGCAACCACAATGGAAAGCTGTATGGCGCTTTCTCAGAAAGTTGCAGATAGATATACCATTTGACCCAGTAATTCTACTACTGGGAATTTACCCTAAAGAAACCATAACTGCCACCCAAGCATACATATACACATACCCATGTTTATTGTGGCTTTGTTCGCAATAGCAAATTGCTGAAAACAACCCCAGTGCCCAGCAACAAATGAATGGCTAGAGAAGCTGTGGTATATTCACACAATGGAATACTACGCAGCATTGAAAAACAAGCAACTCATGGAATATTATGAAAGAGGGATGACCCTGGGGGACATTATGCTGAATGAAATAAATATCTCAGTCACAAAAAGACAAATATTTCATAGGGCGACTGTTGTAAAAGAGGACTGACATTGGGTTGAGGGAAGACTGAGAAGGAGAGGATGAAAGATGTATACTGCATTGAAACAGATGAAGGAGAGAACTGTTTAAAAAGGATATACTATTAGGTATTATTGTCATGACAGGAGTCCAGAACGAAGGCTGCACAGTGGAGTGGACTTGGAGGGAGGGATTGCATATCAATGAAAGAATTTTTCTTTTACTTTTCAAGGAGAAGAGTGAATGAGGGGGAGGAGGTGAGCAGGGAGAAAAGTGTAAAAATGAATGAATGGAAGCCCTAATTCTCTGTAAACTTTCACTAAAATGAACTTTAAAAAAAGAGAGAGAGAAGATCCATTAGCTCTCTTTTTAAGTAATTTCTTTCTTGATCTATTAATTATAGGCATTGTATTTTCTCCCAAGGGGATAAACTGGTTCCTGTCTCCTCCTTTCCTTCTTCATGGAAGAATCATGTCATAATTGTGGTTCCCCTTTTAGTTAGCTTTATAACTTTAAAATGTCCAGCACCTTATTAAACTTGTCTTTTCTACAAGAACAGTATCTTGTGACTCCATTTAGTGTGGAACAATAAATAAAATTTGAAGGTGGAGTTAAGAGTTAGGGCTAGACTTAGGAATCTTGGGATTAAATGGACTCCAAGACTACCACTTTTGTAGAAATAATGTTCAGCCCTCCCATGTCATAATCAACCCTGAATAAATCTAAAATGCTTTTTTTTAAAAAAATTTTATCATAATCTTTGCCTTTTTATGTTTTACAGAAGTAAATTTCTCCCTTCAATAGATGATAATGAAAATACAGAAGAAAGAGAAGCAGGTAAGCTGCCTTTCTTTTAAGTCAATGTAGCTGGTGTCCATTGGTGATTTTTTAACAAGAGGAGACTCTGGTGATGTTGACTTACCTTGTGGAGCTTCAGTTTCATATTCCATATGGCCCCTGAGAGTTCCCTTTTGAATGACTTACTATATGGATTTTACTGTTTGCTAAGGTTAATTCTAGTATATGAGTAATTGTATGGAAAACTTGGGTCAAATTGTTATTCACAATTAGCTCCATGCAAGAGAGACTTCTCTTCCTGAAGATTTCTCTTGCCTTCCAAGTGGGCAATTCTTTTTAGTTTGCATATTTATTGTTGCAGATTTTTAGTCAAAGTGAAAGCATTCCTATTCATAAGAATTCTTATATTGATTGGCAGGAGGCACCTTCAAAAGGGGTTCTTAAACTAATGGGAGGGTGTGCATAGGAGATATTTGACATTTGGTTTCTTATAAGGGAGAAGATTTAATGAAAACATTTGTTCTGTGCCACTCCATCTGTCTAGCATATCCTTTCTGTTCTAGATTGTTACATATTCAAAGGAACCTAGAGCCCAGCTAGTATGGCAATGGGAACGCCAGAGTCTGTCTCTTGGAAACAGATTATTTCTTCAGATTTCTTTTTCTTTTTCTTTTTTTACTGAATTGAGTGGTCGCCTGGTAACCAGTTGTGGATCTTTATCACTCTCCTTCACTGGAGCCCAGGGTTTTTAATAGAGCCAAGGATTCGTCTGTGCAAATAAACTAGATGAGACCAACCACTCTTTCCTCCTTACCCCACTCCTGGGGAGAACTCTGGTCAGACACAGGTAACTTGAGAGGTTGCAAAAGCACACCTTTGATCTGTACCTAATGCAGAGGTGCTTCTGAAACCAGAACACAACCTGTTTTGGGAACTGTGACTCATTTGCTGTCCTAACAAGAAGAACAGTGAGTAAATACTATTTACATTATGGGTTTCTTTCTGTTCTCTGTCTGTAATGAGTTTGCTAGCTGCTAGGTAAAATACTAGAGAGAGGCAGTTCCATCTGCCAGGAATCTATCATATGGACATACTCAGACAGGTGTGCAAAGCTGTGTAGAGGGAATTTCATTGATACTTTGCTTATAGTAACAAAATTGGAAAGAACTTACTTCAAAAGGGGAACTACTTAAATCATAGCAAATCAGTCTACTCTAGAATTTTATTCAGCTGGTGAAAAGAGCACATTGCTGAAAAGAATCTCTACTCACAAGTATTGTCGTTTCTCATAGCAATATGCATGCTTAGTTCTTTTCGAAACACTTTAATTTTTTCTAAAATATTAACCTTTGAATTTAATAAAAACATGCAAGTTTTACTATATAAGTTACCCCACAATGGATCTTGGTTTATTTCACGATTTTAGTGGTTAGTGTTAATGTCTTTAGTATATACCATCCAGTTTGGTGGGTTTTCATACATAACAACCTTATCCAGAGTATCCTTCTAATGCCTAGTAAAAACCAGGGATCTCTGGTGGCTTAGTAGTAAGGAGTTGTACTGCCAACCCCAAGGCAGGCAGTTTTGAATTCACTAGCTGATCCATGGAAGAAAGATGAGCAGCCTTTTCTGTGCAAGTTACAGCCTCTGAAGACTCAGTAGAGAGTCAGCCATGAGTTGGTTCTGACTTGTTGGGAGAGTAAAATAATGCTGATGAACAGAGTATGATTTTATTTCAAAGTTAATGTTAGATATGGTAGAGGAACAAGTTAGATAAGTGGAGTTACTTTAAGGAAGAATTTTTCCTACTTCTCTTCTGATGACTGAACTATAAGACATTGCAGAGCATAAAAATAGATGATTATGTTCAAGCTAAAGCAGGTCACAGGCTCCAGGATGAGCATGTGTGTAGAGAGGTCAGTGCTTAACAGGAGACATCATATTTTAGAATGAGCATGGACTTTGATTTCTGCAGTCAGGATTTTGGTTCTTCTAACTCTTCAGCTGTGGGTCCACATGCAACTCCAGGGTTTGCTTTTCTCATCACTTAAATAGGGGCAGACATAGCTGCCTCTTGAAGTATTAAGAATTAAACAAGGTCATTTATCAAGTGCTAGGCATTCACTATTAGTGGCAAGAAAATTCTTGAATCCAGCAGTGAAATGGATTATCAGATTTTGTTGTTCTTACCACGATCATAAAAAAAGAAAATGCCCACACTTTAAAAGCTATCTTTCCTTTTCATTTTTTTTCCTTCTCTGAAGAAAAATGACAAGTAAATCACATCTTGATCTTTGAAATTTTTTTCATTCCTCACTAGAAATCTTATCAAGATATATTACTCAAAAGTGGCATTTTATTTACAAGTTAGTCAAAGCTCAGTAATAAATAAACTCAATAATAGTGACTAACCATGCTTGTTACTGACCAGAAAGTTTTTAATAAGAGTTATGTACCGAGAACAAAGGTTTAGAGAGAGATTGACATTATATTGCCTAAATAACTATTATGAGAACTTTATACTTGAATTAAAAAACATTTTAAGAAGAATCATTCTCTTAAATTTATGTTTATCTTGTCACTGGAAAGTTAGTCTTTTATCTGTATTAGAAAATAATGAAATTTCTGCTTCTGAGAAGCACATACTTTTAATTCCTAAGATAGATAAACAGTGTTTGACAGAAAAAATGAAATTGGAGAAATAAAAAGTGAATGCTAATCTTTGCGTAATCACAGAGCACTACTGTTGTTAGGGAAGCGAAATGACTTATTTTTTAAGGCGAATGTAGTCTGACATTAGCAGTGACTCACCTAAAGTGTGAGAATACATTATTTTCATTCATTTTTATTTTAAAGAAATGTATTGTCTGACTGACTTACATATGCCTCATAAGAGCTGTGACTTTGTACTGTGGGTAGGGGAATAATGATTTGGTATTGGAGAGTGTGGGAAATTCTAGCCTCTTGCTTGTTACTGAGAAAGATAACGAGGTTAGACGTTCTCCTGGCCTGTGTGTACTTGTCATCTAAAGTGTAAAGAGTTTTCCTACCCATATTCCATAGTGAATAGAGTAAGCAATGAATGCAGTGTTCTTTAATTGGAACTGACTCATAGCTCAGCCTTTAGCAGGATCCCAGAGGCAGTAAATCACAAGGGAGTAGATTGCTCATCTTTCTTGTGAGAAGCAGTTGGCGATTTGAACTGTCTACCTTTGTGTTGCAGCGCACTAGGCCACTAGAGCAACCTATGAATGCAATAGAATTGGTAATGATATAAACAGACTGAGAATTTGTAGCCACAACTTGGAAGAGCCTAGACTTGCAATTACTAGGGGGGAACTTTGCCTCCTAACCATTCGACCAGGAGTCAAGTAAGTAGAAGCTTTCATTCTAGATTCTGGAGATGAAAGAGTGCAGTGGAAAGAGGTTTGTGCATATATTCTGTAGAAATTTTGAAGATCTTCATGTTTTCTGCCTTAGAATGAGGATGAATAGAATTGCTTTACCAAACTAATACTGAGCTTTTCAGCATTTACTTGTTCAAAAAAATATTAGAATGTTAACTTGGTTCTAGTCTTTCTCTTAAGAAACATGAAATCTGATTACAAACAGTCATTGATAGTAGTGGGTGGCATACATTTAAAAAGAACCAGGATTTTCCGTTGTGGTTGAAGGAATCATGATTTAAAATTATTGCGTATGGGGAGTGGTAACCCACCAAAGATTTAGCAAAGTTTGAAAATACATGATGTCTTCTGAAGAGACTCAGGTTTCAGTGAAAAATGAGAGTTTAGGTTGTTTCAGAGGAAAACATGGGAGCGAAGAGAATAGTATGCAGGTGGTTTTGAAAAGGTGGAGTACTTGCTGATAAGAGAAGTCTTAGTATTGCTTCTTCTAAGGTGCATTCTGGCTGTACACTGTACAAGACAGATTTCCTTATTTTTCCTGACATTCCCTGATACATTTCATTTTCTTTGCCACTACTATAATTCAGAGACATCATTTCTTTGGTCTTCCTTATTCATTGTCTGGCTTTAATCAAGGTGATTAAAAGTACCATAGCTTGGGTCAGTCACATCTTAGTCCTCAGAGTGACATCCTTACTCTTTAGCACTTTTTGCCTAATGCAATATTGTTTGATTTCTTGATTGCTACTTCTGTGGGCTTTAATTTTAATCCAGGTAAAATGAAATCCTTGACAACCTAATTGAATTCTCCATTTATCATGATGCTGCTTTGTGAGTTGAGGGAATAAACTAAGCAGTTATCTGTAGTTCTTTGGAGCAGAGTTGCTGGGATGTCAGATCAGTGTATGTTCAGTTTTATAAGAAATTACCTTGCTTTCTTGGAAAGTGATTGTATACTCTACCGTATTTAGTACCACTCACCAGTTATCAAGCATCTGAGAGTAGGGCAGTGAATAAGTATGACAGGGGAAGAATCTGTAACATTTGAGTTGTGGTGTTGGAGATGAGGGCTTACTGTCCTGTGGACTGCCAAGAGAACAAACAAAAATATCTTCAAGAAAGTACAACCTGAATGTTCTTGGAGTCAAAGATGGTGAAGCTTCGTCTCACATATTGTGGACATGTTGTTAGGAGAGGCTGGTTTTGGAAAGGGACAACATGCTTGGGAAGGTAGAGGGTTGGTGAAGGGGAAGACTGTCAGTGAGATGGATTGATTCGGTGTCTGTGTTGAGGATGGTAAGGATGGTGCAGAATCGGACAGAGCTCACATCTGTTGTTTGTAGGGTCTCTGTGAGCCGTGCTCGATGGCATTTAGTAACAGCAACCTAACAATAGTTATGGTTCCCTAAGTAGACTGTAAAATGCTTAATGAAAACTGATCATTAGCTTTTGGTCGGGCAGAGGATTGAAATTGAAAAGTTTTCTACTACTAGCTGCATAGCCTTGTGTGTATATCACCAACATCACTGATCTTCTATTCCTTCATACATGAAATTTACATTTTTATGTTAAACTGTAGGTTGTTTGGAAGATTTGCAATGCCACGAAGCATACCTAGCACATTTCTTGATACATCCATATATATCAATAAATATTAGGTGCTGTTGTTACTCTTGCCTAATGATTTTATTATTTGTCTTTTCATGATTGAGTATCTCTTTATCACCACATGCCTCCAGCTATTTAGGAGAGTCCTGTGTTCAGAAGCAAGACTTTGACATGAGATACCAGTCAGAGGGAGGGTCCCATGCACCCATCCCCAACCTGTGGGAGAGCTACCTTGAAGGCATTACTTAGATCTTTTATGGAATGGCGCTGAAATCTGCTTTATTAAGCAGTGTGGCATCACTTGCATTTTTTCCTGTGTTCACCTGTGCATGCTAAGCAAAATCTTTTCTCCTGAGGGCCAAGTGTCCCTGGCACAGAATTTAGGAGTAGTTTGGGAATGGCCAAGCTGTAACGGAATACCTGCCAGTATACCACTAGAGTTCTTCCTGACTTGTATTTGGTTTTAAATTTTCATTAAGTCTACTAGAGAGCCTGTCAGGGGCAGAAGAAAATGGGTGTTTACTTAGTCTTGGTGCCTCTCTCGCAGTTCGAATCCACCATCTGCTCCAACGAGGAGAAGGGAAAGACGGACAGTCTTCTTCCAAGTCCAATGGAAGGTCAGCTATGAGTCAGTTCCCACTCAACAATGAGTTTTTAAATTTTTTTTCTTTTATTAAATCTGCTTGATTCCTCCTTCTCCTGAGTTGATGTCTTAAATATTGAATGAGGAATGATGTTGTCAAAACAGAACTTTCCCTATTTAGTGGTAAGTCCTGTTAGGGTGATTCTTTGGATGTAGACTTTTTTCCATATGTACATAAGGCTTGACTTTAGGAGCTCTGGTGGTCTAGTGGTAAGGAGTTGGCAGCAACCCAGAGGAATGAGGTTCAAATCCACCAGTTGCTCTACAGGAAAAAGATGGGCAGTTTCCTCCTGTGCTGCCTCGGGAGGGTCAGTTATGGGTTAGTTTCAATTTGAGGAACACAGTAACGACAGACTTGGCTTATAAAGCTCCAAAAGTTACTTTCTTCCCGGGATACTCAATTTTATGTTTGGATTTTTCAGACTAGGGAATGAAGTAAGAGGAAAAAACAACACCCAAAGGAGAGAGCTCTGGTGGCCTAGTGGCAGGAAGCTGCATTGCAATCCCAGAGGTGTGTGATTCGAATCCACCAGATGCTCTGCTGGAGAAGGAGGGACAATCTCCTCCTGTACCAGTCAGATCTGATTTGACTCCACACACAAAAATATAATAAAATAAAATTAAAAAAAAAAACAAACCAAAAGTTGTTGAATATTGCCCTCCTGGGATGGGCCGGGAAATAAATAGGTGCACAGATCCAGTAAGCGGCACCCTGGAGGGAAACGACAGCACCTGGCCTGGCAGCGGTTTGTGTCCTTTAGCTCATGCCAGGCTTCATGGTAAGGCGGGTGGAGGGTAAGCCGCTCACAGTGGTGCTGTTCCTCAGCCATCATTCCAAGATGACAGGACTGTTTCCTAGAAAACATGCCTGTCTTTCCCAGACATGCCTTAAGTTGTTCCATTGTTCTAGACTCAGGAGAATGTACTGCTGTTTCCTGAAACCAGCACACCCTATGTTACCTAGTTACTGCCACTTCACGCAGCCTGCTGAGGAGATGGCAGGCGGTTTCTGTAGTACCAGACCTGAAATTACGCTGTGTAACTTCTGCTTACAAAGTGATTTTTTTTCCTTAAAGAGGTCATCTTTGGAAAGCTGTATATTTACTTATTTTGAATACCCCTAAGAACTTAAGGATATTAAAAAATAAGTACTTAAAGGTATCCAAAACAGCTTTGAAGCTTCCACCTGTTACAGCTAAGCTCTATTGCATGCATTGTTTGGCTTTTGCCAAGTGACTAAAGATTATTTGATGCCAAGACTGGTGGCTAAGTTAGATAACCATACAGAAGAACTCTTTCTTAAATTGCAGATAAAAATTGAAACTTTGACTGCTGAACCTGAATTTCTTGTTGAAAATCATCTTAGCCAAATGTTGATGCTGCATGGTGCTTGTTAATAATACAAATTAGGATAAAGAAAAAAAAAACCAGTATACCTCTAGGAACTGTGCTACCAACTCAAAGGCACGCAGTTCTAATCCACTAGCAGCTCCTTGGGAGAAGGAGGAACCGTCTTCTCCCTAACGATTTCCAGCCTCTGCAAACCTTTTGGAGGGTCAGCTGTGAGTCAGTTCTGTCTCAGTGGCCCTTAGCAGCAGTGGCATTTTACCACCTTTATTTAAGATACATTGCAAGACTGGTATCTTGTGTATGAAGAGTAACAGGGAGCCTAGGATTTTGTATCTGATAGTGGCATGTAAAAGTATTTTGTGGGAAACTGTTGTTGTTGCCTGTCCAAGACATGGAGCTTAAAACTTTGTTTCGATTTCTTCCTATAACTCTAGAAACTCCTGTGATTTTTTTTTTTAGTACTTTTTTTTTAAGTTAACTATGCTAGCAAAAATTAGTAGGTTGGTATTGCTTCACAAGAGCAAAGGACATGGGGCCTGTCTGCCACTGTGTCCCTAGGGCCCAGAACTGTAGGAACCAACACAGTTGGAACTCAGATTTTTTGAGTGGATCCATACACTCAGACTTAATAGTGTGCTTTGTATGAAGCATGCGATGAAAGGGTAAATAATATGCTTTTCTGTTTTTCTCTTTTTTGCAGTTGTCAAATTTTAAAGTTCTGAATCACTCCCCAATGTCGGATGCCTCAGTCAACTTTGACTACAAGTCTCCATCCCCATTTGACTGCAGCACTGACCAGGAAGAGAAAATTGAAGATGTTACCAGTCAGTGCCTGCTCCAGAAGGACCTGTATGCCGCTGACGAGGACACGGATACCCTTTTCCCTAGGAAAATGACATCCCATAATGGGATGGAGGACAGTGGTGGAGGAGGGACCGGAGTGAAGAAGAAACGGAAGAAAAAGAATGTAGGGGAGCAAGAGGGCGCAGCGAAGGGAAGTAAGGACAGGGAGCCCAAGCCAAAGAGGAAGCGAGAACCTAAAGAGCCAAAGGAACCGAGGAAGGCCAAGGAGCCCAAGAAGGCCAAGGAGCCCAAGGAGCCGAAGCAGAGGGAAGGCGCCAAGAAGCCGCGGAAGCCCCGCGAGGCCTCGGGCACGAAGGAGGCCAAAGAGAAGAGGAGTGGAGCTGAGTCTGTAACCAGGACCAAGTCCAGGAAGACCAGGTGTGCACCTCTCTCCCTGCTCTGGGCACTCGCCTCTGCCTCCCCAAGACAGTTTGCATTGGGCCAACTGTGTAACGTCTAGACCACCCCCTATCCCATGCAGCTGTGAGCCTGCACTTCAAAGCTCACCAGTATAGTGTGAAGTGTGGGGATAGCCACTAGCTTCTAAGTTAAAGGGGCTGTTGTTAGAGGTGGTGGTTTTTCGTTGCATTCCTGGTATTGTCTTAGAGTATTTCTAGGATGTTCTAAGAACTTACCTACCCTGCCCCACCCCAACTTTTTGTCTGTATTATTATTGGTACCCTACCTGATGTGTGAGTGGACCTCCTACATTCATTGTTTATGTGCTCCTGTGTACATATTAGCTTGTTGCCAAAAAAGAACTCTTCTCATACCCTAATGAGAAAACCAGTCACCCATAATTATTACTGACCGTGTAATTTCATACCATTCTTTTTCAATTAAAGTATGTTAACATGAGCAGGTTATAAGGGAGGTAACAGCATAGGTGTGATAGGAAGAAGGCAGCAGCTGCTGTCACAGCAACACTAGAGAGCATGGCAGAAGAGAAGTTAGCATAACAGTGCATGGTCACAGCAGTCAGTGGTGCCGAGGTCTGCGAGTGCTACTGGGTGTGTGTGGACTCCAACAGGAGAGGAATTATTTCCCATGAGCCATGAGTGGGAACACTTTCTTACTTATTTCTTGAGTTCAGGATTTAGCACCGTATCTGGTGTTTCAAAGGGTACTCAGAAAATGTTGAATATGTGAGATCAAAGGAGACCATAGTTACTTTTCGGGACATTAGTGGACCTGAGTGCAGATTTCACTGCTTCGTGGGTAGTATTGAGGGCCTTGGCTATAGATTCTGTCAGAATATCAAATGCACTTCTTATTCAGAAAATGTATATTCATCTATATTCAAATGTAGTGATTTTCACTTGTCTATGAAATTTTGTGCCAAGTATTGTAGTGTTGTTTTTTGTTTTTTTTTTGTGGCTTTTTTAAATACAGAACAAAAACTTATAGAATCTTAAGGAATTTATTTTTAAAAATTAAAGGCCAAGATATCCTCATACTACTTCTCTCTCTCTTCATATCAAGAGCACCTATAAACCCCCATAATTGATGTTAATGCTGAAAGTATCTAGAGAGGTCACCGGAGTCCTCTCAGACAGGGTCAGGCATGATAAATTTTAAAGAGTAGAAGCATTTTTAGATAATGTCGATGACTTGGAGTTTATGATACTGTTCACTTCTTTTTCTTAAAAACAATAAGGATAATTTCCTAGTCCAAGTTAAAATTTTCTTTATAATACTCTCTCCCTTCTACATCATAGGAAATGTCACCTATTATTGATTCAAGAGGCTTGAATGGGATCCTGGGAATAGAATTTACAGAAGTGACCATAGACTACCTTAGAGAAGGTGAGGAGTGGTTAAAGCCAGGGTTCTGATCCTTCTGATCCTGGAGGCTTTGATTCTCAGTGGATTTAGTGATCATGCTCTGTTCTCTGTTGGATGTATGAGGTGGCGCAGTGAACTCTTGACTTCTGCCAATCATTTTATCTACAAATTACTTTGGAGAAAATGAAGTTCCTCAAGATAATGACATGTGTGAAAAAGGCAAATTAGATGTGAGCGAGGAAAGTGGCTTAATTTGGTCATTACGGAGAACAGTAATAATGCTAGTGTTTCAGAATTAGGGTAATTAGAGGAAAGTTTCAGAGCACAAATAGAGTTTGGTCTTGGTGTAGAAGGCAGAAGGAAGTCATATAGGTTTGTTTCTAAGCTCATTTAACCAGCAGTCTGATGGCTATCATTTTATTGTTTCTTTAAAGACTTGGAATTTATTTTGTGAGCAATAGGAAACAATGAGTATACAGATATGGGCGGACATTCAGTTTTGGGGAACGAGAAGGCTTTTCACAAAACAAGATTGTGTGTCAGATGTAGCTGTAGAAGTAAATAAGGGAGCATTATTTTGATCTGATTAGACTGTAAAATTAAGTCACTTAGAGAAGTGCTTGGTTGTGTTTTCAAGGAATGCCAAGTTAGAAGAAAGGAGAACCTCTTGAGGTTTAGAAATCCAGGAGACCACCTTTGTGAGAATGCCAACAGGTTGTGCTGGTCACCTCCTAAGAGATACGGGTAGATTGTGTGTGTGTGTGTGTGTGTGTGTGTGTGTGTGTGTGTGTGTGTGTAGTTTTAAACAACAGCAATTTTTCACAGTACTGGAAGTTGAGAGTGTAATTTTTGCAGCTTTGTTGATTCCTTCTGAAGCTTTGAACAAAAATACTTTTGCTTTTCTGAGAGCTATAGGAATTCTTTGGCTGGCCTACAATGTCCCCTAGTATTCTTCAATTCTTCATCTCTCTCTGCTTCAGTGTGTCTTTTCATTTACAGAAAACACCAATCCACCCTTCACCAGGTCCTCATGCTAACCTGACTGACAGTGTCTTTATAAACCCTATTGCCAAACAGAATCTCATTCTGCTTAGGACTTGAGTATACCTTTTTGAGGAACCTAATTCCTGTAACATAATTCCTCTGTAACAGAGGTGGATCATGTTTTGTGTGTCTTTGAATCCAGTTTTCATTGACTTGTTCCGAAATCAACCTCCATGGTTTCTCTGGGGGTGCTTTCCTTTGTCATCTGTAAAGGTATAATTTAAACTTCAAACTTAAAGTCGTGATTTAAACAAACGTTTTCACATCAAACCCAGCATAGCCTCTTCCTTTTTGGTGAGTCGACCTCAGATTATTCTTTTGTGATTTTCCTTCCCTGAAGACCTGGTCCTGTAAATGGTGTTCTGTGTGTTTATCTTTATGGCATCTCTAGAGATGAGAAATATGCTCTTAAGAACTAGGAATAATGTTTGTGGGTGTGGATTCTTGACTTGTGACCAGGTGGAAGTCTCTCATGTAGCCCATGTCAATTTCAGACTCGTTAGTCTGATTTTTCCTTTTTATCTTTATAAAATTGTTTTGAGTAGTTTAATTGATGGCCTCACTTGTCTGAAGAAGCAGTTTTTGTTTTGAAGGGAAATTATTTCAAAATACATATATTGGTTATTCTGAGTTTCTTGTGCTTTTTTCTTTTATTTCTTAAAAGTTGACTCAGTACATGTTTTGATTTGAGTGGTTATTGATTAGACCCTACGCGATACTTGATGATTACAAATGATTTACTGAAAACTCACAGCTGATGTATATATAGACTTCCCATCTTTTTCCTCTTTACTTATCTGACCAGCTGCCACCAGGCTGATCTTTCTGAAGCACTGCTGTTACAGTGAGGACTGGTAGTGGGAAACAAACCCCTTTCCTCTTCTCATAGTTCCACGTGACTTGCGAAATGTTCAGCCGAGATGGGATGCAGTTAACAATTTATTAGTGATAAACTGGACTGAAGAATGTGCATTAGCTTGAATTGGTCTTCCTTTTTCTTCTTGAATTGAGTTTATCTATCAGAACTACAAGCACATTCCCAAAACAGAGTAGAAGATACTGGGCCGTGTATATGCCATTCTTTTCACATTGTCTCCAATCATGTCCCCAGCCAAAGAAGCAAAATTAATTTGAAGAAAGGGAGAAAATAAGATTTCTAATTCTTGTTCTTCATAGGGAATAAAACAAGATTTTCTTTCTAAAAACACAGGCACAGGGAAATGGAATTCCCCTTAATGGTATCAGCGCAGGAATTTTCCAAGTTAGGGTCTAGTGGATAGTGAACCTGTCCTGTCCTATCCATAATGAAACAGCTACTGAATAGTAATAATAACACTTGATATATTATTTCTTCTATTTATCCAGCATATTGTTAGTGCCTCTTGTGTTGTTTGCTTTATTTTTTTGGTGGAAGAATAGTGAAGGAAGGAAATTGCAAGAGAAAGTAGACTCTACAAACACTGTCATGAATTAAGACAGGTGTTGCAAACGTTCAAGAACTAACAAAAGACATACAGATGACAGTGGTATAACTATAAACAAAACAGCTGAAAGAATGTTTTGAGTTAAAAATATTTCCATTTCAGGGAGCTCTGGTGGCCCTAGTGGCAAGAAGCTGCACTTCAGTCCAAGAGGTATGTGGTTCGAATCCACCAGATGCTCTGCTGGAGAAGGCGGAACAGTCTCCTCCTGTACCAGTCAGATCCGATTTGATGGTACATGCACAAAAAAATAATAAAATTTTTAAAAAAATAAAATTTCAATTTCGATCTAGGGAGTTTCTTGGGAAGAGTTGGTAAGGGAAGACAGAGGTCCAAAGACATGTAGCCCTTCCAAAACTGGATTGCTTTCTGCTTCTACTTTTTTTGTTGAAATGTGTTATTAGTCATGGATGACCTTAGGAATGAAATAGGGGGGAAAGTTTTTTTGAGGTATCATAGATTTTAATCCAGTAGCAGGATACCAGGTATGTAGTTCGTAACATGTTGGGCTGCTAGCTGAAAGGTCAGCAGTTCAAACCCAACAGCTGGTCTGTAGGAGAAAAACAGGCATTCTCTTCTTTTAACTATGTACAGCCTTGGAAACCCAGAGGGTGGTGGCCAGGTCTCCACGGTGGCAAGTTGGATTTAGTGACACACGCATGTCCTAGGGCAGAGAGGTCCTGTACAAGGGTTTGTGCGATGAGGGCCATTCTTCAGATTCATGCAGGCCCCATGAAATGGCAGCAGGCACTAGCAGCCTCCATGAAATCACAGAGGGGAGGAATGTAGGTGAGTAACAGGAGTCATGAAAGGCACATGCTTTTTGGGGAACTTTAGGTTAGGATGACAAATGGGCAAACTTTTATTTCCTCTTCTCCAGATCTTATCAAAATGCCAAGAAGCAGAGAGAATGCATCCTTAAAAATAGGAGATGCTACCAATTTCCTGAAAAGGAAAACTGTTGGCATCTGACTTCTAGGTAAATGCTGTGGAAGGAGTCCCAGCACACATGCAGTGATAGTAGCAGAGGTAGAAATGCTTCTGCTCAGACTGGGACTAGCAGCCCGA